CGGCTCTGTAGAAGGAATCGGTCAACACAGCCAGCATCACCGCGGTTGTAGTAAAGGATGCAATGTTCGCTTGATGCACATCCCCGCTAGCCTCAATCAAGAACAAAGAACAGACGAGATTCGTTCCCGAACAGCCGCTGCAACCATCACCGCGAGTATGGGAAAGGACAAGACGGCGCTTTCTTGTTCAATCCCTTCGGCAGATCTGACGTTGCTGTTGGATTGCGCACATGCAGCCGTGCCGACGCATGAGGTGAAGGCTTTCCAACGCCAGTCTCAGCAGACTGAAGCCCTACGTAGAGAGGCGCGCCAGCGCATTTATCCTGGCGTTGCTGCTGGTTTAGCGCGCGGTTGTTGGCGCAAATTGGGGTCTAGGGCCACAGGTTTTGCACTTGTTGTCCTTGAGGTCCATGTCAACCCTTTTACAATGCAGCCATCGCATTGGCAAAGCCAACTGTGAACTACAAAAGGTAGTTGAGCCCAACTCGGGATTGTTTTTAGGACATGATGGGTTCATAAGTTTTTATAAGAATAAGTCTGCGTATTTGCGCCCAGCCAGCGCATTGCGCGCGCACGGCGCCTTGCCCTTCTCGTGCCGAAAAGCGCGGGCCGGGAGCTGCAGGCGGCGGTGTTGGTTCTGGAGGTGGGGTGTTGGGTGTTTCGGAAGCCGCGCTTGCTTTGCTTGCTTTGCTTGCTTGCTGTTTCGGTTGTTCGCCCTGCTTGCTCGCTTGCTTTTTGCAGCTGCTGCGCTTTGCTGCGCCTTCTGCCCCTTCTGTTTGTCAACCGGCGCTCTTTTTTGCCAGCCGAGGGCGTCGCGTTGCCCTATGGTCTCTTCGCCTGCCCACTCCTTCCCAGAACTCTGTTTCAATCGCTTTCGCAGGTTATCAGCCGTGACTCGTCCTCGATTAACTGCGCGCCGGCCCTTCATGGAGACCGACGTCAGCACTTCTCGGCCAGCCGGATTGTTGGGAGTTGTGAATGAACCATGAGTTTTCCAATTCGTTGTCAGGGGCTAATCGATATTTGGACGTGGAGTTTTTGCTCATCTTTGCCAGGGTTGATGAATGCTAGTCAGTTGGTAGGCGGTTCGGGCAGTGGCAGTAGACCTGTGCCCACGAGTGTAGCAAATGTAAGAAGCGCGAGACGTGTCTAGCAGTCATGAAAGACCTTTTGAAGCTGCGTGGCCATCCGGTGAAAATAGCACTGATCTTGATTCCTTTACATGGGTGCCAGAGCCACCCGCTCCACACTCTTAGCAACAATCCGGTCCGCAACAGGCTAGCGACATTGGCTGCCTTGCTTTTTCTGAGTTTCAGGGCCTGTCACTGGCGTGCTTGGTTGGCCTGCTGCTTTTGCGTGAAAGGGGAGTTGGCTAAACTATGAAAACACAACAAAAATGATTTCTATATCTTTGCTATCTAGCCACGAGTCTTCTTAGTGCGTGACAGGCGGGGCGCAACAAACTAGGGAGGCCCGCCGAGGCGAAGCCAGCTTCGAGCTACAAAAGCGGACAAACCAGGGCCGCAGATCGCGTGGAAAGAACGGGCCTTGCAAGGCAGTGTCGGGCAAGAAACGTAAGCGGCCTTGCACACTGGCACCTGGCGGAAGCCACAGCAAGCTCGCTCTTGGCAAGTGGAGCAGGACGCCAGGAGCCATGTTTCTCCCCATTGTTGCACTCTTGAAAACTTCTCAGGGCTGGAAGTTGATAGTTGGTCGGTCGGTCGGTTGGGGTGGTTAGGGTTGAGGGTTGTGTTGGGTTCGGGCCGGGCTGGGTGTGTTTGGCCTTGAGTTGGTTAGGCGGTCGGTTGTCGGTCGGTCGCGGGTGTTGGTTGGGGCAGGTTGGTTGGTTTGTTTTTTCGCAAAAGCAGCAGGCCAACCCGCAATGGAAAATCCTATTTCAGGAAAAGCAGCATGCCGACCAAGGCGCAAAAACTTGCATTTCTTTGCGAGTCGTGCGCGCCGCACGCGACCCTCTGCGGGGATCGGCGTGGTCGAGGTACAAAAACTGGCCAGAAAACTTTTTTTGCGATTTTCAACCTGCCCACGCAAAAACTGTGAGTTTTTGTGGTTCTTGCGTGTCGCGCGCGGCCCTCTGCGGTGATCGGCGTGGTCAACCCAGTCCTTCCGGCGAGGATTCGATGGCGAGGATTCGTTTTTTTCAGCGCTGATTCGAGTTGACGAGGATTCGTGTAAAAAACGCTTGACGAGGATTCGGGTTGACGTGGATCCGTGTCAACCGACGTGGGTCAGCTGCGCATGCTCGTGGTATATTCGCTGAGTTTTGTTGCATGGCATGACTTTCCATTTCCATATCGCAGATGCCTCGGGCACATCTTCGCATGATATTCGCTTTATATACTGTTGCAGAATCCGCTGGAAACAGAGTTTGTTCAGACGATTAGTTGCGTGACATGTTTTGTCATTAGTAAGCGTAGGATGCCTTGGGCTCCTCCTACAGTCTCTATAGCCCGTAAGCAAAAATCAGGAAGCCGCTTGCTCCTAAATGTGCTTGATTGTACGCGAAAAGAGGTAGTCGCTAGCTCCTGAAAGCTTGCACTTGCGCGCTTTGTGCCCACTTAATCAGTTTCAGACATTTGCATGTTTCACCCCGCTCAAAAAACAAATGGCATTCCTGTTTCCACTCCCAGGCCGCAGCGGTGACGCGCGAAGGAGATGAAAAGAACACTTGCTGCAAGGCGCAAGGCAAGGGCTGTCAGCTCCAAAAGGAGCGCAGGGCTCCTCCTTGTTCCAAAAAGGGGAGAGAGAGAGAGAGAGATGACGAGAAAGAAAAAGAAGAGAAAAAGAAGAGAAAGGGAAATATGAAGAGGAAGAGAAAGATAAAAACAACAAGAGAGCGGGAAAGAGAAAGAAGTGAAAAATGCGCAAGAGAAAGAGACAGAGAAAGATGAAGAAAGAAAGATAGAAGAGAGAGAGAGAAAGACAAAAAGACAGAAAGAAAGAAAACATAATAAAAAAGAAAGAAAGAAAGAAAGACAGAAAGAAAGAAAGAAATAACGAAATAACGAAAAATAAATAAAGAAAGAAATACCTAAACACATAAATAACGAAACAAAGAAGGAACATAAACAACGAAAGGAAGACATAAAGAAAGAAATAACTCAAGAAATAAAAAACACAATGATATAAAGAGATAAACCAATACAGAAAACAATGAAATAAATGACGAAATAAATCAACAAAAAGAAAGACATGCATAAATAACTATAAATAAAGAAAGACAAACATAAATACCTAAAGAAAGAAAACATAAATAAATAAATCAAGACATGAATTTAGAAAGCAAGGAATAACAAGACAAAGAGAAAGAGAGAAGGAGAGAAGGAGAGAAAGAGGCAAAGAGAGAAAGATAAAGAGATAAAGATTGCAAGAGAGCAAGAGAGAAAGAGAAAGAACATGACAAATAAAAAGACAATGAGAAAGAGAGAAACAAAGACAAAGACAAAGTGAGATAAAGAGAGAAAGAGAGAGAGAGAGAGAGAGAGAAACAGAGAAGGGGAAAACAAGCCTGCTGCAAACTATCGTTCTTCTAGTTTTGAAACGTCTGCCAACCGGCTTCGCCGGCTTCACGGGTGTACAAACTGTTCCCTTTCTTTTACTTTTGTCTTTGGTTGATGTTTGGTACTTGGACCAAGCCCTGGGACCCTCCCATTTCCCCAGCATTGCCCTGAGATTGCTTGCGGTGTCTCTCCTGTTTTTGTTCCTTCGCTTGATGTTGATTTTCTTTGTGCCTTTGCAGGCGTCACCTGGCCAACATGTCGCAGTTATGTTCAAAACACTTTTCATCACCTTTGCTTTCCGTTTTCTCATGGGAACTTTGTTATCTTCATTGCGTTTGCCTTCTTTGGGTTTGGTGGCGTGGAAATTTATGAAAACATGATGAACCACAAAAAATGGGTTGCTGGCTTTCAATTGGTCCATTGGCCAGGGTGGATGGTGCTGGAATTATGCCAGATAGTATGAACATATTTTTTGCAGGCGCCCCACTTAAAACATGATATGGGTCAACTTGTTTTTGCAAATTTTGATCAACGATGCGTTGGATCAAAATTGATCACAAATGAATTGCTGGGAAGCACGTGGAATTGAGAGCGAACCCCAAACATGGAACGCTAACTAGTTTTCCCTGTGTGGTTGCGAGTTCTAGGGCAAATCATGTTGGGCCATCTTAATTGAAATCAAAACCCCTCGAAAAGAGGGTGTCAACCCCTCGAAAAGAGGGTGTCACCCACGAGTAACCGCGACTCCTTGGGAAGAGGGTGTCACTCTTGGCCCAAAACCCCTTGAGAAAAGGGTGCCATCCATGATTATTATTTCGTCGAAATACTTTAACACATAACAACATGTAGTCACCAATTTGTCTGACACAAGTTTGGGCTGCAAAATGTTGAGACCACAGAAAGTTGTAGTCCAAATATGTTCCTTAATTGTATTGCATTTGTCAAAAGATGTTCAACTATCCCAAATTGTAATTACCAACTTACTGATTTGTCAAGCATTTGGCCTGCAAATGCTTGACGCCGCCGCACATGTGTAGTCCAAATATGTTCCTTAAATAACAAGTTGCTGTCAATTCTTTGGCCCGCAAATGTTTGAGGCCACAAGGGGCTATAACCCCGGATTGTCCCTTTCTCTATTTTTGAATTTGTTGGCCCACAAAAATGTGTAGTTACCAATCCCTTTTGTCATACATTTGGCCTGCAACATGTTGAGGTCACAGCGCATTGTGGTCCAGAGATGTTCCTTACCCGTACTTTGGACATATGTTGGCCCATAGACATGTAGTCACATGTTTTGTCAAGTTTTTGGCCTGCTAACTTTTGAGGCCACAGGAAGTTGCAGTCCAACAAATGCTCAATGTCAAGCATTTGGCCTGCAAATGTTCGAGGCCGCCGTAAATTTGTAGTCCAAATATCGTCCTTAATTCAACAATTGCAGTCACCAATTTGTTTGTCAAAGCTTTGGCCTGCATATGTTTGAGG